CATTACTGCAAACATACAGCGACAATTAACGATAATTGCCTTCTTGCGCGTGAATATATTGTTGGACGGCACGCGGGCTCTGACTCATAGGTTTGAGTTGCGGGGATGCAAGACGAATCTGACAATAATCTTTCAAGTTAGGAGTCCTTATTCCGTATTTAATGCGGCAGGGTACACTCGCTTCGACATGTCTGACAACCCTCAAGAAGACCGGGATCGGTTGGGCCACATTTTTCGCCGTATGCCACATGAGTTCTATGATGTTATCAATGACCCAGCATTATCCGTCAAGATATTGAGTTGGTTTTTGGAATTTCGCTATCTGGTCTCCATGACCGAAGGAAACTGAGTTCTCCATACCTTCTATCGCAGAGCGTTACGCGCGAAGAGGTACAATGCACCGCATCATCAGTATGGGGCAAAATTACATCCATAGCAAGGGCAAATGAGTAAAATGAGCGGGCGAAAAGGCAGGAAACGAATGACGCGGGGCGCGAGCAGGCTGAAGAATCAGAAAAATGATGTGTTGATCGAGCCTCTCCTCTTCCAGAATTGCGATCAACATCATAATATTAACGATAAGGATGACTTGTACGACTACCTAAACAGGACACGGGAACAGGAACCATCTGAAATACATGCGGCTTTGCGCAAGGTTCTGGGGAAGTTAGGTTTAGGGTTAAGGTGGGGACTAGGTTTAAATTAAGGGATAGATTTATGTTAAGAGTTAAGGTCAGACTTGGGGTTGGGGTCAGGAATATGTTAATGGCTACGGTTTTGGTCAGTGTTAACTGTAGGATTTTGGTCTGGGGTAGCGCTAAGGTTGTAGTTGTGTTTTATGTTAGGTTTGAGACACGCGAATATTTCCCCCTCCTGAAATCTCCCGCTAGTCCACCTAGTTTAAGTGGGTGGGGCGTTCCTACTCCCATTTCCTGTCTAGGCGGTCATAAAAGTCACCCCCTTACCTAGACATCCTTTGCAAGTATGCATTATAGGAAGATTGCAGATATATTGGACAGGACAGCACACACACACGTGTGAACGTTTGGAGGGAGAAACCGAAATTATTTTAGTAAGGCGACTTAAAGAAAGCACAAATAAACGTCGCTGTGTCCCCACACCAAGCCACATAAGTCTGCTAACTCAAAAGGCATTGCTGTATATGGCGACCAGTGCAGCGGAACAGTGGGGTTGGGATAGAATACACCTGAACAGACTTCAGCGGGCTTTACTTTGCCCCCCGCCCCCAAACTCCCTCGCCCACGAAAGAGGTATTTGAAGGTTGGTCCAGCACTAGAGCAAGAAGTCCAAGGTGCACAAAGCCGGCGTCCGATTTTTCTTTTGCCAGGTCACTCTAGCACTGCAGTTGAATAAGTTCGAAAATAATGAAAACCAGTCTTATGCCTGGTCGCCTGCAGGCCATTAAGTTCGCATGCCAGCGGGTGGGTA